GGTTAAGGGTAGTGGGAGTTTGCACCCAGACCACTCCAATGGGCAGAAGTGGTCTCAGTGCCTGGAGTATCCCTTCAAGGTTTACAATTCGACAGCCTTAAATAGAAGCATTGTATACCTAAATGGTAGGCAACCTTTGGCATTCCAGAGCTTGTGGACTACATCTCCCATTAATGCTTTAACAGCCATAATGCTGGCAAAGAATCAGGAGAGATGTAGCTCACAGCAGCTGGAGTGCCGTAGGTTTCCTACCCCTGTATTACCTTTTCTAAGCAGGATATATAGATTGTCTAAATACTGATAGAATGTATGAAGATGAGACGTTTCTTGATCCCACTGCAGACTATTTTCTTTTTTTATCCTTGTTACAATAAATGAACACTCCAGTCACCATAATAACTACAGCTCATGTAGTGGTTATGGTGAGCAGAGTGTCCTGGCAATATCCCCATAAGTAGTCAAACTGTTTTAGAGTGGTTTGAGTTCATACCTGGGAACCACCAAATGCTGTTCCCCATTTCCACCATTAATGCAGTAGAGCTAGACGGTCTCCTCAGTTAAGCCCTGCAGTATAGGATTTAGCTCACTGACTGAGAGCATCACTGAGGATCTTAGGAGCTTCTGGCTGTCCAGCTTTAATAATGGACTTTAGATAAGATGCTACGTCAAGCTGTAGTAGTTATGGTGCTTGGAGTGTTGAAAGCATTTAATTTTGATGATTTTTTATGAAGAACCCTAAAATGTTGGGCTTTTTCAGCAGACCAGATGTTTAAAAATACTCACATTATTCATTGCTTACAATTTGACAAAACACCATTATCCAATTTTTTTCTTAAATTTTAACAAAATATTTTAGATTTTGTTAAATTGTTCCAAGTCTTTGTGTTTTAATGTTTGATATTTGCTAAAATTTTAAAAGCATAAATACATATAGGATTATATACACATATCTTTTTGTAAAGCTCAGCAACTGAAAATGGAGGCCTAAACTATTTATTTATTTATTTTTAATGGGTTTTCCCACCCTATTTTGTTGGTATAATGCCCTATTGGGATTATTCTTCATGTCCTCACCCCGCTGCATCACCAAAAGATGCTAAAAAATAGTTTTTAAAAAAGTTGTTGCTTATCTTAATTAAAGCTTCTGGCGCTGCGTGGCACACCACCTCATTACAGGAGCCGCACAGATATTTCAGGAAATATTTGATTGCAATAAACAAAAAAAGAGTAAGGGGAGCATGAATATAATGAAGAATGGTAACTTTTAATTGCTAAATTGTAAAGTGCAAACACAAATTTAGTGGGGTGTAATAAGTCTGAGAATGTATCCTCACAGGGGTATGGAATTAAAGAAAAAATGTCACTAAAGGCACTAAAGTAGTAGCCCAATCTACTTGTCCTGTTAATAACGTCAATTACAAAGGTTGAGACCCATGCAATAAAACTTGGACATGGACAGGGCTGTGTTCTAAACTTTGAATTTTCACAAAATAAATTACAATGGAAAAATGGAGGCAACATAAGTTGATATGGAAGAATTCTCTAAATCGGCAAAAATTTTGCCATTTGGTGAAGTTTTTGAATTACCCCGAGTGCCACACTTACTGCACTCCGATAGTCTCTTTCTTTGTGCTTGTTGTCTGTGATATGTTTGTACTGACTATATGTGATGTGTTTGTATATGTTGTGTGTTGGCTGTATGTCATTTGCAATAGTGCTTTGTGTATTCTCCCTCCTGCTTACCTTCCTGCAGGAAGGTAGGCCATGATCCATGCTGATCCAGCTGGGTTTAACTCTGATTGGTGGTCTAGGGATGGTTCTGGATCCTCATGGTCTAGTGGAAGACTTTGAGGTCTACTTCTCCAGCTGATGTATTCATCTCAGTTATGGTCCCAGAAATGAGTGGGTCAGAGTTCAGATATGAGAACATATATCAACTTGCACCACTTTTGTTAGCTTTCACTTTTGGACAGTCATATATTTTATTAAGTCAACTTAAAATGTACATTTTGCTTCCTATTTTCTAATTACTCATTTGTGGATTTCCAATTTTAAAAAAAAAATTTCTTTAGTGAAATTACCTATTTTAAACTTTGCCACAATGTGCTGCAATAGTCAGATTTAAAAACTTCTTGAAAACTGTACTTGATGTGCAAGAAAGATCTTTTTAGCCTTACAAATTGTGTCAGTGTTTCCAGGGATCAGTTTATCCAGAATGTTTAATATTCTAGTTTCAAATATAACAATTTCTGAGAATTTTGAAGTCATGAAAAAAAAAAAAAGTTTTTTGTCCATTTCTCTTCCTTCCCAGAAATAAAGGACATTTTTGGAAGAATTGAAAGTTGAGTAGAGTGGAGGACTCTTATCAAATTGAAAATCTTTATGTTATACATTGGGAGCATAAAATGCTGCATGTCTAAGAGTATTATGCATGAAACAAAAATACAGCATATTCAGCAAATAATAATCCATTTTGTTAACTCTATATGTTAAGAGCATGTGTACTATAAGGAACCTCTTCTGCCAGTACATGCTAAAAAGCACCCCCCACAAACAGAGAGAAATCACCCATTTCCTGTAATGAGCCTGCTGAAGTGCTTTAGGGGTGTTTAGGAGGTTCCCTTTATTACTGAGAGGGGGGAGACCTCCTGCCTGTCAGCTTCACAGCCACTGGGGTGTTCCTATCCTATTTTATTAAACTGCCTTCTCATGAAATAGGTACTTTAATAAAATAGAATGGGAATACTCCGTGGCTGTTAAGCTGATAGCCAGGAGGTCTTTATCTTTCAGTAAGAACTTGTAGCGAGATTTCTCAAAGGGAAGTATTTGCCATTACTTTCCTAGAAGACGAATTTGATTTAGATTGTACTCATTTAATTCATTTAGGTATTTTGTTTTATGTCTTTAGGGCATGTCTAGAGTGCATAATGCTAGCATTTGGAAAGGTGTTTCCAAGTAGCAGGTTTTTGCTGGATATTGGTCTCACCATTTTGCTAAGAAGCGGAAAACAAAAATCAATTTTGTAGCCAGACCACTAACACTATGCTCTGATGGGTGATGGGTTGCATCAAAGCAAACCCCTAGTAGGAATCAAGTCGTCATTTAGAGAAAGGTTGTAAACATAAACAAATGCAGTTGGTTACGTTTGGTAAATAAGGTTACATTTTCAGAATTCGGAGGATTGTAAACACTTACCTTTAATTTAAGGCCAAACAGAGGACAGAAATATATTCAACTATATCAACAAGATGGAGCCAACAAGCACAATAAGCTATAATAATCAAATTTTTTGCAGTGCCCCTAGATACAGAAATGCCTATTTCTCTATTCTTTGAGAATTACATACTCCGTATTTTTTTGTATTTGAATGTTATCCAGGGATTTGCTGGTCTTCAGAGAAGAGAAACTGCAATGATTTAAGACTTTACATAAATTCTCATAAGTCTTTCATAAAAGTCTTTAATTATATCGTTTTTAGAAAAAATATTGGAGGTTTAAATATAAGAACAGCATTTCATAAACATAGTATTTATAATTAAAATGTATTCCATGTTCCATTTTTTTTCTGAACAATTAACAGGACAAAAAAACATTTTATTTTTTTCAGAACCTACCCTCCCTTTATTCCAGTATTATAGATTGGTGCTCCACAGGCTAAGTTATGCATATATTTTGGAATTTGCATAGACTATGGATGCAGCACACTAATATAATAAAATATATTATAAATGTATCCATCTGTCTATAGATTTCTATAGCACATAAAGCAGAGCGAGACCTTTATTAAAAGGGCAAGCATGTGCTAGGTCAGTGCTTAGTGCATGAGTAGGCAACCTTTGTCACTACATATGTTGTGGACTATATCCCCCATAATGCTATTACACCCATAATGCTGGCAAAGTATCAAAGCAGGTGTAGTCCAAAACATCTGGAGTGCCGAAGGTTGCCTATGCCTGGATAAGTGAATACTTCATGAATACTTCATGAAGAAAGTGCTGGACTGTCATAAAGATGTGTTTATGTCAATTTTTCATACTACTTGTTCAGGTGGTAGGTAATAAAGCCTCCTGAATACCCGTGTTTCCCAAGTGTTTAGAAAAGAATGGGAATTTTTCATGTTTTAGATGCTGTTGTTCCGAAGTAATAAACTTACAAATCAGAGTTGAACTTGGCCTTTGCTAGTCATAACCCAGAAGAGAAGACCATGGTTGCTAAAGGACTGCCTTGTCACTATATATGCACAAAGTGAATTTAAGTTTGTAAATTGTTACCTGGAGAAAAGGGTTTTAATGAAAATCTGTTAATCTTACTTTCTGGATTTAATGCTTTTGGCACAAATAATGTAATCAGCAGTGTGGGAAAAATTCTCGGCTCAATCCTTCATCATAAAACACAACTGTCAGCCACCCATGGTTGTTTATATTAAAAAAAAAATATGATTAAGAATTTCAATAGTACCTCATTATTCATTTCCTCTCATTTGTTTTCACAAATGAAAGTTTTCAATAGGGCAATATTTATTTGAGCTCTTTGTATAAATATTAAGACATACAGCAAATTACTGTCATTTGGTATTGGAATTTGTGATTCTGTTCTTATTAATGAAGGTTAAAGGTTATGAGGTTATGGTAACAATATTGAAAGGCTATTCCAGTCCAATATTTCAAAAATAAGCCTCATAAATCATTTCCATCAATCAAAGAGCTGATTTTACTAAAAAAAAAACAGAATACATAAACTTGAACAGAATTCAGCATATTTATATACTCAATATTAAAGTTGCATTGTAAATCATCTTTGATCTACAACCAGTGGCGTACATACCGGGGTCGCAGGGGTCGCAGCTGCAACCGTGCCTGGCCGCCCTGCGACCCGGTATGTACCCACTGTGGCCAGCCTCTTCTCCTTGGGGGCCCAGGAGCCGGCCACCTCAGGGCCCCCCGAGGCTGGCTCTGGTGTCACCCGGCGGGGGAGCACTCTCCCCTGTGTGCTCCCTGTTCAGCTCCCTCGTGCACCACACTGATACCAGAGCCGGAAGATGACGTCATCTTCCAGCTCTGGCATCAGTACACGACGTGCGAGGGAGCTGAACAGGAAGCCCCACTGGACCTCATGGAATCCCCTCAGCACTCCCAAAGATAGGGAGGCTGGGGGGATTACATTTTTTTTTTAAACGTGTGTGTGTGTGTTAAAGTGTGTGTGTGTTAGAGTGTGTGTGTGTGTGTGTGTTAGAGTGTGCGTTCGTGTGTTCGTGTGTGTGTTAGAGAGCTTGTGTGTGTGTGTGTTAGAGTGTGTGTGTGTTAGAGTGTGTGTGTGTTAGTGTTAGAGTGTGTCGGTGAGTGTGTTACTGTGTGTGTCTGTTACTGAGTGTGTTAGTTTGTGTGCGTCTGTTAGTGAGTGTGTTTTTTGTAAGTGAGTGAGTGTGTCTGTCTGTCAGTGAGTGTGCATGTATGTCTGTCACTGAGTGTATGTCTGTCAGTAAATGTGTGTGTCTGTTAGCTAGTGTGTATGCGTCTGTTCGTGAGAGTGTGTGTGTCTTAAGCACTTACCTTTCTCCAGCGCCGGACTCCCTTGGCGCTGGGGATCTCTCCGCCCCGATCCGCCTCTCAGCTCCGAATGCGCATGCGTGGCAAGAGCCACATGTGCATTCAAACCGCCCATAGGAAAGCAATGCTTTCCTATGGACGTTCAGCGTCTTCTCACTGTGATTTTCACAGTGAGAATCGGGGAAGCTCCTCTAGCAGCTGTCAATGAGACAGCCACTAGAGGCTGGATTAACCCTAAGTGAAACATAGCAGTTTCTCTGCTGGATTAACCCCAAGTGAAACATAGCAGTTTTCAGCTGCAGGGTTAAAACGAGAGGGACCTGGCACCCAGTCCACTTCATTGAGCTGATGTGATCTGTGTGTCTGTAGTGGTCCTTTAAGTGTATGTGTATCTGCATGCACTGGCGTACATACCGCGGTCGCAGGGGTCGCAGCCCTGCGACCCCTGCGACCAGGTGCCCTCCACCATGTGTTGCAGCCCCAGCCCGCACAGAGGAAGCACGCGCGCGTGGAGGGCCCACGGATCAATTTTCGCACTGGGCCCCATGGGTTGTGTGTACGCCGCTGTCTACAACAGAACTATGATGGTTGACTGAAAATATCATTCTAAAACCAATATACATTAATAACGTAGTCAAATCATCCTCCTTTCTTAGAGGCTATACTTAATATTTACTAAAATCTCAAACTTTAGATTCACTTTTCATACTTAAAAATATAATTTTAGATTTTAGTGCATGATTATGCAGAGTGTGATTTGAATTTAGAAGGGAATTAAGTTATCAAAGAAAACAATACAAATGTTAAAATAAAATGTATTACTATTTCAGATATTTTCAAACTTTTTTTGCACTTAGAGAATTAAAGAAACACTTTAGTGTTGGGAATACAAAGATGTATTGCTAACATTAAAGTGTCCCTGTGACCTCTCCTGCCCCCCATCCATGAAAGGGTAAAAAAAACAAAAGCGTTTATTCACTTACTTTATTTCAGCATAGAGGTTGTGCTCCACCTCTGCCAACTTCAGCTGATAGGGGGAACTTAACGCTAAGCAAGCAGTTTTGCTTGAATTGAATGTTCATTTCTCTACCATAAGCCATCTCCAAAGGCGTTTCAAATAACTTGGCAGTACATCCAACCGGCCTCACAATCACAGACCACGTGTAACCACACCAGCCCAGGACCTCCCATTCCAGCATCTTCACCTCCAAGATCGTCTGAGACCAGCCACCTGGACAGCTGCTGCAACAATCAGTTTGCATAACCAAAGAATTTCTGCACAAACTGTCAGGAACCGTCTCAGGGAAGCTCATATGCATGCTCATTGTCCTCATCGGGGTCTCAACCTGACTGCAGTTTGTCATCGTAACCAACTTGAGTGTGCAAATGCTCACATTCAATGGTGTCTGTCACTTTGGAGAGATTTCCTCTTCATGGAGGAATCCCGGTTTTCACTGAACATAGCAGATGCAGACAGTGTGTATGGCGTTGTGTGGGTGAGGCAACATTGTGGCGAGTGGCCCATGGTGGAGGTGGGGTTATGGTATGAGGAGGCATATGTTATGGATAACGAACACGGGTGCATTTTATTGATGGCATTTTGAATGCACAGAGATACCTTGATGAGATCCTGAGGCCCATTGTTGTGCCATTCATTTACGACCATCACCTCATGTTGCCGAATGATAATGCACGGCCCCATGTTGCAAGGATCTGTACACAATTCCTGGAAGCTGAAAACATCCCAGTTCTTGCATGGCCAGCATACTCACCGGACAAATCACCCATTGAGCATGTTTGGGATGCTCTGGATCGGCACATATTACAGCGTGTTCCAGGTCCTGCCAATATCCAGCAACTTCGCGCAGCCATTGAAGAGGAATGGACCAACATTCCACAGGCCACAATCATCAACCTGATCAACTCTATGTGTAGGAGATGTGTTGCACTGTGTGAAGCAAATGATGGTCAAACCAAATACTGATTGGTTTTCTGACCACCCCCCAGACCCTCTCAATACAGTTAAACTGAACATTTTAGAGTGGCCTATTATTGTGGCCAGCCTAATGCACACTTGTGCAATAATCATGCTGTCTAATCAGCATCTTGATATGCCACACTTGTGAGGTGGATGGATTATCTTGGCAAAGAAGAAGTGCTTATTAACATATATTTAGCTTAAGATTTGTGAACAATATTTGAGAGAAACAGGCCTTTTGTGTACATAGAAAAAGTCTTAGATCTTTAAGTTCAGCTCATGAAAAATCGGGGCAAAAACAAGAGTGTTGTGTTTATAATTTTGTGCAGTGTAAATATTGCAGGACTAAGGGCGACATGGACACTGCACCCAAACCCCTTCAATGAGATTAAATTGACTGGGTGCCTGTAGTGTGCCTTTTAAAAGTTACTCTTATTCTGCTACAGATGGGTGAAGGCACCTGCACTTATAAAATATGCAGGCTGATCTAGTCAGCAACACTTCTTACAATTGCTGTACAATTCTTTTTTTGTTGTTGTAATTTATAGTTGGAATTAAAATTATTCAACCCCCATTGAAAATCAGGTTTATTGTACAATTTTACAGACATTCAGCTGTGTGCAGTAAATCAATCAAACAAAAGCAACTGAAATAGCTCAATACAACGAATGCTTCAAGTGGTTTCCCCAAATCCAACTGAAAATACAATTGTATTTATTTTTTTATAGGTGATCAATAGAGGGCATTTTACATGAAAATAGCCATTATACATGTTTGGTTTTATATCACAGTAATTAAATGCCCACAAGATGCATGCACATTGCAGATCCCACATTTTAATTTACAGATTTTTTATTTTTTCTGACAGACATCAGATCTCATGTGTAGTAATATATCAACACCATCTTATACAAAAAATAAGTTTGATAAGTTTAAGGCCGAAGGCCTGTATTTGTGGGAGGAGTTAGCGTTCCTATATAAACGCTACTCCCCCCATTCCTACCTTGCCGTAACACACGCTGTTCACCTCACCCACCTCACCCTCTCATAAAATCTATTCAGGGGGCCCTCTTTTACAGGCCTACCCCTACATCAGTCCCGGCACACCACGCCGACTTAATTCCTATCACAAGGTATTTCACGATAACAATATTTACCGACCACAAGCATTGTAGAGACCCAGATAGAAATGCGAAAAGGGTAGAATATAGACTAAAGATATAATAAAAGCAAAAATGTCTGTAAAGAGGAGTAAAAATGCCCCAAAGGATCTGTAAGGGAGCACAGGTTTGGTGAGAGGAGAAAAGTGATGGAGAAACAAAATATTTCGATGGGCTGGTAAATTAGGATGAAGAGGTAATGTAATAATGACTTAATGAATGTAAGAAAGCTGTGTGCTTTTACAGTTATTTCTATCTTGAACTGTTCACCTGGCTTCTGTTGATCATTGTGAATGAGGACACAGTGGTATAAAACTGGTATTTTTCAAATGAAAAAAAATCCAGGTATAGGTCTGTCACTAAATTGATTTGGTTCGTACTTTCTGACACAGTACATTGTGTGCTTATTAACAACAGCATCTCCTTGTCACTGAGTTATATGGAGTCCCCAAAGGTTCAATTCTTGGTTTCTTTCTGCTCCTTCTATTTATACATGACCTACATAGGGTCTGCATGGCTTCAGTACACACATGCAGGAAAGCCATAAACTAGACAATTAGTCCCAAGTTACCAAAACTTTGTATTGTAAGAAGATTACTCAAAGGTTAGAGACAGATTTATAACCAGCTTTTCTTTAATCCTGACAAAACCATATGAAATGTGTTTGGAACTTAAACTTAAACTAAATATCCATCTGCGCAGTCACATTTTAACTGTCAACAGTCAGTTTATGGAAATCTCTTGAAATGTAATTTGATCCCAGTCTCTCATAAGGCCTATATATTGAAAAATGATGTTCAGAATATTTCCCCATTATAGGAAAGCAGATTGTTCATCAAAAATTGATGCAATTCTAAGTCTAAAGGGATGCGGTATGTGTATCTGTGCTTCAGATTTATCTTGGTAAACAGTCTATATAATGCATTACGTTATTTTGGTTTTCAATTTAACTACTTTACAACGCTTGCATATCTGTGAATCCAATTCTACTTTACACATTTCTTAACTGACTCATAACAGCTTCTCTGGAAAATGTCCACATTAACTGAAAAGCATGCTAATTCCAGCTATCTCCAAAATCTAAGAATTCTACTCTCTGTCTTAAATATTTATTTATTTATTACTGGCATTTTTAAAGCGCCAACAAATTCTCCAGCGCTGTACAATTGGGAAATAAGACGAAACACAATAAGAACAGACCGATACAACAGGTAGAGGACCCTACCCGTGAGCTTACAATCTAAAGGTTGAACTGGGGAGATGAGACAAGAGGTAGCAGGGGGATTTGTATGTGATGGCAGATAGAGTTAATAGTATAACTGCAGCAGCTCATAGCATGTGAAGGTAATAGGGAGGAGATTGGCTATGGTTCAAAACAGCTGGAAGAGCATGCTATATAGTTAG